GAGAGAGAGAGAACATGGGATGGTTCATTAGTTTTTTGTTTTATTAGTTTACCTACACATGAACACAAGAATGTTGGTTTCTTCCTCTTTCTTTCCTTCTGACTGCACTGCAAAGAAAAGCTTTTGATGAGTAGGAATGGCAGGTCAGTGCTACACATTGCATCACTTCCACATGGAATCTTTTTCACTATTCATCTCATCCAAAACTTGTGAGATCACAGTATCTGACTTGTCTCTGACATGCGCTACAGTTGAAGCTGTCCTCTTCTTCCTCCTGCAGAATGACATCTCTTCGTCTCTCGTAAGACATGTTAATCATGCCCTTTTTGGTTGGAAACATACATCAGAACGGATGGGCACTACTGGATCTTCACACTAAAAGGAAATCCTAATGAAGACGATGTCCTAATTCTATATGATCCAAATAATTCTCCAGTGGGTCTACTGCATCCAAGTCAAGGATAGAAACAAGACACATTCTTCGTTGTGGTGTGGATGGAGGAGGAGGCTTAAACTAGTGGGGGCACTGGCAAAGAGGGAAGAAAAAGGAGATCCAAAGGAAGCTAATGGAGGTGATCATCATGCTCCCCACTGATCAATAGAAGTGGATATAATTGAAGCTGCCGGGATGCTTCCTGTTCCAAGCCCACCGCAGACAAAACTATGGGCAGTCGTCCCCGTCGCTGCTGCAGCACAGTGGAAGCATGGGGCCATGGCGTTAACGCCCACGAGCCGTCACTTCCAACGACCCATAAGGCCACGGCCATAACCAGCAGTGCATGCATGCACGCATTTCATCTGACACTATAATGATCTCGGAGAAAGAAGGCAACCCTGGTGGTTCTGCACATCAGCTTCTGCATCTGCTCGATAACCCTACTGTTCTTGAACAAGGTTTACGTACGGATAGAACAATCAAAAAAGTAAGGTTTACGTACGGATAGAACAATCAAAAGTAATCTTATATGTGAAGTGACAAGCACACAAGATTCTGGTTGTATCTAATGGAGATTGATGTTCTTGGCCAAGATCACCTCAGTAAAAACACTTTTTCTTTGGAAAGACTCAATATCTGATACCAACATAAAAGAGAAAACTTGATTCGGTTTGTGTAGGTTGAGCATAAATCTGTAGCCTTTTCTTACAGATTAGACAACAAGAATATTTTGAGAAACAATTAGGATTGGTGGTAAAGTATGTGTCTTAGCCACAAGCAATTCTGAAGATGGTAATTCCAATCTCATCACCCATCACATTTCTTGAAGTTTCATCTTTATCATCACCTTCATCCAAACTCCTTAAAGGAGTAGTCATATCTATTGATATATGTATGTTGGAGAGTTGATGCGAGACATGTAATCTAAACCAGTAATGATCCGCAAGGAAGAGACTTCATGCAAAAGCTTAAAGCTTCCTGGAAGCCAATTTAGATCAGAGAATAAAGCTTCATGGCATTCCTTGCCAAAGTACTTTTGTCAGAGAACAGACAAAGAGACTCTCTCTGAGTTATCACACCTTAGAGTCTAACTCAAGTTTACATCTGCCGCGAAGGGAAAGGAAAAGATAGAAAGAGGGAACAAAACGAGCAGGAAGTTGCAGTGTCATGGTTCTTGGCAGAGAGAGTTCGGCTTCGCTATGAAGGAAGGTGTGCTCTCTCCAGCCATGATGACCACGAATCTTGGCTCCATGTCCAGAGGAGCAACCAAGACCTTCTCAGGCAGGCTCGACGCCGCCGCCGAGTCCCGGTCGCCGGCGGACTTCCGGTGGGAGCACGCAAGCACCACAAGAGCTACTGCTATAAGGATCATCATGGCTCCTAACCCTCCAAAGAGATAAGGAAGTGGAGTGCGCCATATGTTGGATCCGGTCGAACTCGATGAGCTTCCAGGCCTCATTTCTCCTTCTCCCCCTCTTCTTCTTCTTCACCTCCTTTCTTCCTTTGCCGTGTTCTTAAGCTTCGTTGCGTTGGGCATTTATAACCGAGAACATAGTGGCGGTAGATGCAATCCAGAGCAAGGAAGCATCCTTTCTGACCTGGTCCGGTGGGTCACTCAGGCTATGATTTGGTGGAAGTTTCCACTTGGTTTTGTTTAGATTCTATGCGACATAGGAAAAGACTTAGAATCGATTTTCCATGTTTCTGTTCTTGTAATCATCTTAATACGACAAGAGATCTACAAAGTAATTGCTTTCTGAATCTTTTTCTTTCATTTTTCGGGTGGCTGATGACAAAGGGATTGTGTATTATGGACAGGAAAGAGAAACTTTCTCCACCATCATCTTTTCCTCGAGTGTCAAAGAGATGACTTTCCCCCTCCATTATTATGCATCTCAATCAGCTCCTCGGTGGAATCCACTGCCTGCAGTCGATGCTTCCGCGTACAACCTTTTCCACATGATCACTTCCAAGAACACAGTGTAACCCATGAAGACTGCCTCCAGAAGAATGCATGCCTCCTGTTCCTTGGACAAACAAGGACAAAAGCAATATTTGTATGTTCGTGCACCCAAGCCAAATGATACCACAGGCAACCTGAGAACATCCTCTTGTTGCCGCATCCTGGAAACATCGTCACCAACCCCACTTCACATCTTTGAGCCACCACATCCAACAACCAAAGTCAAAGATTTGAAGCCGATGCTGAACATAAAGAAGGAAATTTGGAGTAGGAGACTTGAATTGATGTTATGATGCATGCTCTGTAAAGCATCAACAGAGAGAGAGAGAGAGAGAGAACCACAGTTGATGTTAAGATTTGCATGGTGGAAGCCATGATGTCAAATGCTGTGCACCCCAAAAACCAAGAAAGTGTAAGGAACAATGCACACCAACAGCCAATGTGGAGCTCCATTTCTACCGTCTTCTTCATGCCAGCACATGGAAATCACCGAGCCCACCGAACGCCTCCAGTGCGCCGCGCGCCTCCCAGCAATCGAAGAAAGGTGGAGTATCTTTCTACTTTAGAAAGCTAGTGGGCAGAGACACCGATGGAGAACTGTGGGAGAACCTGTTTTCATTGTTTCCTTTGCACTGACTACATAATTAGAATGAGAATAAATCGATCTGCCAAACAAAACAAATCAAACCGGCAGTGCAGAGAGATGGAACATATTCACCCCAAGTTTGAGGATATGTTCCCAAGGCTTTTTAAATGAAATGGCTAAGGCATCTCATCATGAAGCTATGAGAGAGATGGGTTGATGATTGGATGGGCCACTCGTTCCTATGATGCATCAGATGCTCAGTGCTAAGCAAATAATTAGGAATGGTGAGTTGTGCCATATGTTCATCCATGTCCCTTTGTTCTGTTCTTCCTGTCACTCAAAATATTAATGTGGCATTTGTGATGGCAAGAGATGTTGCATTGGCAACAGTGTTTTCCTGTCTTGTGGCAACATTGTTTTAGTTATTTATCCTTCCAATTGGCATAGCATTCCTTTCTCCTGACATCATGTTCTCTTTCTTTTTTCATTGGCATATTTCTGTTCATCATCAACATCTCCCTTATGATACAAAATAGCCAGAGAAAGAAAGAGAAAGGGAGATAATAGATAATAGATAGAGAAGACAGTGTTCCCTTGTAGATTTGTGTTGGTTTAATTGCACTTTGAAGTAAAGTACTCTGTTCATAATACTCTATCAAAGAAACTATACAGAATTGTTGTTTCATATCAGCCTAAAAAGAAAGTTACAGTAAGGAAGAGAAGGGTCAGATTGACCACTCAAGAGAACTGCAATTTACAATCTTATGACTGAATTATATCATCTGTTGAATATGAACCTGTCACAGCACTTGGTAAGGGCTCCATCTATTTCCCTACAATAGCAGACAACTCCCTAAATCATTCTTAACACTCAAAAACACTTAATTCAACCAAACACTCTGATAGTATCTGTACAAGCTCCTCATATAACATGCTAATTATGCTTGTTTCGATCATCATCATCATCATCAGTCACCTTGGTCCCGAAAGCTCTATTGCATCGATCAGCAATGAGGAGTCGTCCGTGATGTCGGAGTACTGTTCGGAGAAGATCTCAGGCACCTTTAGCTTGTGAGCTTCGATCCTCCGAGAGGCCTCCCATCTCTCTGCAAGGCCATCACCTTCGAGCATGCGAACCACCTCAGACATTTTGGGCCGGTGGCCTGGAAGGTACTGGGTGCACAAGATCACCACCTGGATGATCTCTTCCACCTCAACCCGATCATAGTTGTTCTTTAGGTCCCTGTCCACCAGCATGTCCAGGCTCTTCTCTTGGTGAATCTTTCTAACCTGGCACCGAAAAATTGGCATCAGCAAATGACAAAAATTATAAGCTTTGATGCCTTTGGAATGTGATTCTGGGGTAAAGGGACGTGTCAGTGGACATGTATCATCCTTACCCAGTCGAGAATGGCACCTTTCTGGTTTGCTGCCTTCCCGAATTCTACAGCTCTCAGACCAGTGATCAGTTCAAGGAGGAGGATTCCAAAACCAAATACATCTGTTTTCTCGGAAGACTGGCCTGTCGATAGATACTCTGGAGCTATATGTCCCACAGTTCCACGCACAGCTGTAGTGACATGTGAATCCCTGTGATCTAGGAGCTTTGCTAGTCCAAAGTCTCCGACGACGGCCTCACAGTAGTCGTCGAGCAGTATATTGGCAGCTTTTACATCTCTGTGGATGATCTTGGGGTCGCATTGCTCGTGCAGGTAGAGAAGCCCCCTTGCAGCTCCCAAAGCTATTCGTTTTCTGGTACTCCAATCTAATGTTGGTTTCGCTGCACGACAGACAGCAAGGAAGAAAAGAACAAGCTTCTGTTGTGTATCAAAGATAAAGCATGACATCCGCAAATCAACAATTACAGTAGTTGTTTTGATCAAACATAACATATATCAATCAGCAAGTGGAGGCATATCTTTTGTACTTCCATGGATGAGTTCATGTCCTAAAAGTAGGAAGCTTAAACTAGGACTAACCTTTGAGTCGGGAGGCAACACTTCCATTTGACATGTATGGATAGATGAGAAGCCTCTCCGTAGCAGTCATGCAAAACCCCAGCAATCTAAGGAGGTTTCGGTGCACTGCCAAGCTTATCATTTCAACTTCAGTTTTGAATTGCATCTCGCCGCCTGCAGCATTTCCATCCTTCAGCCTTTTGATGGCTACCAAGGTTCCATCTTGCAGCTGGCCCCTGTACACATTTCCAAAGCCACCATGTCCTAGTATGTTTTTGCTGCTGAAGTTATTTGTAGCAATCTGAAGCTCCCTGAACTGAAACCTCTTTAAATTGCCAAGGCTGACTTCTTCGTGGTGTTGGTCTGAAAACAGTATGATTGTTACTACAAGTAAGAGACTAGTGACTTATTTTGAAGGAAAGCAAGAGATCAATGAGACTGTGCTCAAATTCTCTGATTTGAAGCTGGAGAAGGGATCAATTTACCATTGACATCGAAGAAGATATGTTGGTCGCGCATTTGCTTCCACCAGAGGAGAAGTCCAAAGCCAAGACTAACTAAACAGATGCTCCCAAAGGTAGATCCAAATACAAGAATCAGTTTGTGACTTTTGGACCTCATCAGGGTTGGAGAATCTTGAGAGAAAAATAATTACGATCAGCAACAGAACAAGGAGGTTTCATAAAGTCAAAATCAGTCAATGAATTCAAAAGAGGGTGGGGAGGGGGGTGGTTGAAATTCTCAAATGGTGAATGAAGCTTAGAAATAATCGATCAGCTTAGTGCATAAAAGATTAAAACGGCGCACATCTTGTCATACTGACATGTTCTAACACCAAACAAATTGTTTTATAGTAACAACAGAGAGCCATTATGCATAACACTCATCTGGAAAATTTAGGAATGAAAATATTAAAAAAAAAATCATCTCACATATCTTATCAAATTATTTTTTAGGCAATGAGATACCAGCTTCTGCGCACACAACAACAGTCCGGAACTGCGAATACAAAAATGTAGCTATATAGTTTATTTTTGATCTCATTGACATTATATTGGCATAGATGGGTGCTAGGAGATTAAAAAAATTAGCATCTAGCTACTGGACTACAAAGAACGCAAATGATCATTTAGTATCGGGAACCATCAAAAGAATTACACAGTTAGCAAGGCCGTGGTGGCAGTCCTCCGTCTCTTACTTCAACTCTACCTCAGTATAAAGATGCAGAATTTTGAAAGAATGATGAGGTTAACCAGTCTCCAAAGTCCTTTCCTGATAGATTAATGGCAAGGCCTAATTGATATGAAATTAGAACAAGGAAAACCTGTACGGAATTGGCAACCGGAACAGAAGACCGTTGTCCTATAATCTCTAGTGCACCAGCCATGTTAAATTCCCGTTGGGGTGACTTATTACCCCATAAGCTTAAGCTTTTAGATGCACGGGCAATTGTTATAACTTAATAAATGAGACAAACTCTTTTTTCCATCTGAAAATTATGAGAACAGACCATTGCAATAGATTGCACATATCACCATGGTCATATGGAATTTAGCGTTCAAATCCTGACCCATGCGGCCGCGGAAATAATTGGGAGTAATAAGACAAGTCAATTAACTTTAAACTAGAAATTTGCAGATAAAATAATACTCTGAGAACTGTTAATGTTGAAGGACATTGGCATAGGCATCATTCCATAGCATTTTTGCTCCGAAGCTGATGGACAAAGTAAAGGATTTCCGACAATGCTGCAGAAACGTGAAAAGAGCTAGTTAAGCCAAGAAACTGCAAAAAAAATAGAGCACAAACTGCTGAATTTAATAACTCTTAAGCCTAGCAGAGGTAAATTTACGATAATTTGCATCTGAATTCCATTATCTAAAACTTTAATGATTGTAAAAACAAAAGAATCTAAAAAGAAAATACTTCAGCCGCTGTTTGAATTGCCACTTTAAATAATTTATGCTTAATACTAATGCTTTTGATGTAGCACATTTAGGATCCGATGAACAACACCGACATTGATGATAAATCAGGTTGCGAAAATCCTAAATAGCAATGGAGAAAAGTTGGCAGTGCCTATGAAAGAAAAAGGGAGTTCTTAGTGCAGAGGTGCAGCTGAAAATTGAATGTCTCACTTGAACGTTCTTGCCGGAATCTTAGGTATAGTGCCACTCAGATTATTGTAAGACAAGTCCCTGAAGCATGAAAACCACAGCAGCCACATCGGTCACAAACAATGAACCAGAGAAAGAACCTGGAAAGATCATATCAACAAACTTACAGAAAAGCAAGTTGTGGAAGATCGGCCAAAGATTCAGGAAATGCTCCAGAAAGGCTGTTGTTATTAAGCCTCCTGTTCTCAGCTCAAACAGATAAAGAAATTACCGGTCAGTAAACAGTACTTCAAGGCCATAGAACCTGAAAATAGTCTTGTTTTCACACCCCTGCTCACATGTACTGAAGATTGTTCAGATTGCCCAGTGAGTCAGGGATTTCACCAGAAAAATAATTGTTGGACAGATCAATTGTTTGAAGCTTGGAGAGCTTCCCAATTTCTGGTGGTATGGGGCCAGACATGTTATTGTTCTGCAGGAACCTACAGAAACAATCCCAATCACTCAGGGTCACAAGCAAGAGGGAAAGGAGAAAAATGTTCTTGAATTAAAGCACCAATAATTTATATAACTCACAGAATTTTAAGGTTTGTCAAGTTCCCAATGCTTGGAGAAAGTGTACCAGATAGATTCTGGCTTGGAGTTGCTCTGCCACAAGTGTTGATAGACCAAAATTAGTTCTACAGTCTGAAAGAGAACACAATTCAAACAAGTACGCATGCTTTGCTTGCCACTGAGAGAGAGAATCAATGGACTTGTGGTGGGGGACTTACAGGCCAACGACCAAGTTCTCAGGTGAGCATGTCACCATAGTCCAGCTGCATGGATCAACAGAGTCCTGGTCCCAATTCTCAAGAACACTGTGAGGATCCATGAGAGAGGCCTTTATACCCATTAAAGCTTGCACTGAAACAGGATGACAACATAACTGATTCAGATGGGTCACTCCCACTGGAGGCAGGAAGAAGAGAAGAATCGGAACCAAGAGGGGTAGAATACACACGCAGTACCTTCAAAGTTGACACCTTTTGGGGAGAGCAGAGCTGTTCCAGCAGCCCAGAACAAGAAGAAGGCCGACCAAAAGACCAAGGTGCTGCACTTCTTTGCTCTCATCGAACTGTACCAAAAGAGCACCCAGTGGCTCAGCTTAAGAGAGTGAGGGGACGAACTCACCGATGGCCTTCCTCTTCTGCTCACTTCTGAATGCTAGCTCAAGCTCAGGGCGATGGGCAGCCTTCTCTCAGACCTGTAAGGTCGAGAGCCATGACCTCGATAGAATGGAAGGAGAGGTGAAAGCTTGAAGGAAGAGGGGAGCATAACCATGCCTGCCACTTGGTTTTGACAGAGAAAGGTGTCCTGTTCAATGGAAAAGCGGATCACAGCCGAGTCTTTCACCATCACAGGGAATATGCATGACATGTACAAAGACCAAAAGCTAGATTCTCCCTCACTACATCTAGGTGCAATATCTCTATCTAAAAAGCATATCACAATAGTAACATCATCAATCTAAATTATACCTGCTCCAGGATCTTAAACTATGATCAATCCAAGTTGTACCTGCTCTTGAGCAAAATCTGACAGCACATACATCACCACATCTTATGGTCTAATTTCATGGTTCGCAATGAGGAAATGAATGGTTCACGGAGTAAATATAGAGAGAGAAAAGTATGCATGTTAATGGAACAACGTCTCACTCTGGGAAAACACAATGGAACTTGGTGGTGTGTCAGATGGATCACATGCTTGGGAAGTGCGTTCGGCACAATTTGATGATGAGAGGAGAGAACTTCTACAGTAGCAGGCACAGAAATGGCATGGAGTAAGAAAGATAATGAGCCATGGCATCTGAAAACTATATAGGAAGCTTCTAAATCTCTGCTTAATCTGCACGAAAGGGAGCATGATAGTACAGGGGAGCTGAAACTTGTAAGACTGGGTTATGCCATCATCCTCATCCTCATCCACGCATTGATGTCCCAAATGCCTTTGTCTCTCTAATGTGACAAGGACCAGAAAAGACCAAGGAATAAATCATGCTTCCATTACTGTGGTGAAGATAGGTCGATTGCTTTTGTTGATTCCCCCAACGCGAGCGCTGCCCAGATACACGGCCATGGCAAGAACAGGTGGAGAAGCCATCAGCAGAGGATGTCAGAAACCCGCGTGAAAGCACTAGTCACAGGTTCAGAGTGAAAGGGGGAAGGCAGGCATTCAAAAGCAAAAGCTGCCACTGTCTCCTCCTCGTGCATGGCTTCCCTACTGCCTCCTTTACCAGGTTGATTGCTGTTGCGCGCGCGCGCACCCACAACAGTTTCCCACGCATTCCATTTACGCGAGGGTCCAAACTGCAGCACACGATGACGCTTTTGCCGTGTCTCCCACCCTTCACTCGGTACTTCTCCCGAGCATGCACGAAGAAGGGATGCATTGATGCATGCGAGCGAGCTTCTTCTCTTGCCTCCACACAGTAGATGATATGATGTTGCAGGGTGTGGTGGGAATCTCGATTTGGAGAATTCTTCTCATCAACAGTACAGAAATATGTTCCATCTACAATGCCTATCAAACCGCGGTGAATGAGTGAGGTTGGTGACAGAGGCAATCATGGGGTCCAAAGAGAAAAAGAAGACTAGTCTCATCCCACAGCTAAAGCTTGGGGGGTTCCATTCTTTGCATGGAGATGGAAATGCCAATGAAATGACAGCCCCCAACACATCTCCTTGTCACTTGTGTATGATATGTGGCATACCTTCTCCATGTGAATGTATAGTCCAAGTCCAAGTGACACAAATTCCCTTCTCTTATGGCCCCTCCACTTTGCACTTCTTTTGAGGACCATGTCTCCCTGGTGATCTTATCATCTCACACAAGAACACATTCTCAAGGGCTGTTAAATGAGACATATCTCTGTGTAGCAGTAATGCCCTGCTGCAAGGCTTGTCTGTTCTTCCACATTGTTCACAGGTTTAACAGCTAAAGAAGCAAAACAGCACAATGAGGTGTTGATTTTGTCTATCACATACTGAAAGTGAACAGGAAACTCTCTCTCTCTCTCTCTACTGTGTCTTTTGACAGGGAAGAACATATATTGCATTCCTTTCTGTTTGGGACCTCAGCAATGACAGTGAAGAGCATGTAGGTCTCTAACCTGAACACTAACTCTTACAGAAGCTTGCAAGAAAATTCTTTGTCAGGTACTTCAGCAGTTGAACTTGATTCCAGTGCCTCCCATGATTGAAGGAAAAAAAAAAGAAGAAAAATAGAAATGATGCATTTCCAAATGGACTTGATGAACATAGTTTTCTGGATGATGGTGACACCAGTCATCGCACGCACACACAGGACTCTGGCATCGACTGGAATCCCTCATTTGTAGTGTTTTCTTTGTCCTCAATGGTGCAGTGGAATCTCCTCGAGTACTATCACATACGAGTGAGCAAAAGCTGGCGGCAAATGCCTGTACTCGTTGAGCTGCTTTTTGGCAATTAGCTGATCTGAAACTTTCAGTGCAGATGGGTGAATCCAAGCAGTCAAAAGGAGGGTGGATTTACGTGTTGACCTCAGTCCACCGCGGTCTTGTTCATCGTCCACTTCTTGTTTTGCATGAGTGGACTTCTTGTTTGCATGTCCACTTCAACACTGCCCACTTCACTTCCTCTGAGTTTATGCATGATACAAAGCTGGAGTGCAACAGGAATGAACCAAACAAAAAGCTTCTTTTCTGAGGATTATATATATGTCAATTTAAAAGCTCTACTCTGATTGTATATGGCAAATCTTCCAATTGATCCCAAATTAAAATTATCAACATTCTGCCTTGAAAACATAACTTTTTTTCCTACAATTTTTTTACTAATTTTTTTACCATTTCACACATATATATACTTCGCTACAGGAATACTGATCCTAGATCCTATGTCCTACAAAGTTTTCCACATGCTTTGGATTGGTTTCCAGTGACTGCATGTTGACGGCAACAAGAATTGCTACGATCAATAAACAATTCAGGCTGCGCTGAGTTACAGATAGAAACAATCAATCGTCTTCTTCACTTTCATCACTGTAGGAGACCAAACCCCCAAGTGCACTCGGAGCAACATCAGGTGGTGGCTTTGCATCATGTCGCCCATCTGGAGGTTTGCTACTCTCCGAGAAGCCATCAGGGACAGTCACCTCAGTCCTGGCTTTCTTTGCTTGTGGTTTCACTGCTATAATTATGTTTCCCGAGCGTGCTTGTTGATTCCTCCTAGGAAGAGGCTTAGGTACCTGTGAATCAGGTCACCTATATTAAAGGAGGAAAGCGAAAACGATGGAAAGTTCGGGGGACAGAAGGAACTTGGTTGTCCATAATTGGAAATGCCTACAAGTAGCACTTTCAAGTAAAGCACATGCTACAAGTAACAGTTGTATAGATATCTACATCTATAGCTACCATTTGCAACTGCAACAATTAAGGTAGATGAAATGGTGAACGGTGCCGAAGGAGGATGAGGAGACAGATGATTACGCAGATTCAGATGGCAAAGGAAAGGAGGGCATGCACAAACAGGCGACAAGTGAAAAGGACAATCCAAAGTTTGATTTGCAAACCAACCTCCTGTAGCATGTTGCTATGTACACACATTGCAAGTGTCTTGTAGATAACCAAACACTAACCTCAGTCCTAGTCACAGGTGTTGTTTCCTTGAGCTCATGAACAATAGAGGACTGAGCTGCCACTGCTTCCTAGAAATTCAAAAGAAAAGACAAATTTAGCAATGATGGATAATAAAAACTTATGGTTCATTTAATTCACAGCAGGAATACACCATGTATGTAAAGAGCATTACGAGTTAAAAGTAGAGCCATTATCAATCCTTTCAACAGTTAGTCAATACCACAGAAGAAACTGACAATACAGGTACAAGTATTATAAATGTGATCCTATTTCCACTCTCTTATATCTTTAAGGATTACGATATAAGAGATTAATCATCTTGAGCATTGCAGTATTTTTTTCATTTTTTTTTTAATTTTCAAATAATCTTTTAGCTGCAAATGTTTTCTTTTAAATGTAAAAAAGAACAAAGAAACAGGAAAACTATTATACAACCAATAAGCACTGTATATAGTACAACAAAAAAAAATCAGCTTGTGAGGGCAAGATGTATACATGGAAACTGCGAAGTTGTTGGGCGTCTTCAAATGCCACTTGTTGTTCGTACTCCCTCCTAGACTGAGAGTGAAGGAGACAAGCAGTTAGGCAACCTTACAGTAACATGGGTACCATCCAACACATATATACGCCACCATTTTCTCCAGATGTTATATGAGACCAATAAAGCAAAATTTCAGTAGTTTTTCCACTTAGAAAATCAAATATCTAAAGCTATCAACTCTTACTGCCATATAATATAAAAGTGTGAAGACATGTCTGTATATACAGCTTCTGAAATATGTGAAGTGAATCAAGAAACATAGACCATAGGAATCATCTTGATTGCATTAAGTAAAAATCGCTTCTGGTGGCAGAACAGTAACCAATGAAGAGGATTTAGAAACATTGTAACAGCTCTCAACATGATGAATGGCAAAGAATAATGAAATAAGCATACTCTTAAGACTGGAACCACATAATATAAAAATGCATCAAAATTCTGAAAAAAGTGGTTCCGGTGACAGCATGTTGAGACTAATTCACAGCTCAGATAATCACCAAATAACACCCAATGACATATTTTTCAACAGTGCCATGCCTATAAACAACAATCAGATAGTATCATATGCAATGATAAAAAGATAAACCATGGAAACATTGACTAAGAAAGCTCAACTGAAATCCAAAGACAGAAAAACAAATCATCAACTTTTAACCAATAGGATCATGTTCTTCAAATGCTGTCATGCCCAATAACTAAATGGCTTTAGGCAATGCTTACAGTCTCCAATTTGTCTAGAAATTCTGTCTCATCCTCATCCAGTGCTTTGGGTGGTCCTAAACACATGACAAACACAAATATCATAACTTGGCACCAATAATGTATAAAACCATAGGATAACAGAATATGCACATTATTTTGTCTAAGAAAGCAAGACAGCAAAAAACCTACTCTAACAGAAAATACAATAAAGCGGAGCAACTTGAATTCAGAAAACAAAGGTAATGCATCTGAAATAATTAGAGGTACTTCAAATCACAAGAAATACATACTACATGGTTCAGCTCTTTTTCTTCTGAACACACATACTGAACATAAGTACCATGACAACACAATGCCACTTAGATCAATCCCCAAATTGTGGTTGCTACTAAGAATACTCACTGTGCTTAAATCTCTCATTGAACTCTGCATCTTTTTTGTCTTTATTTTCTTTCAAGATCTGCAAGAAAAATAAATATAAAAATAAATACCATAAACATACTATGAAGTATCTTTATACTCTATATACCTAATTTTTGTTACACGAGAGAGTAAAAAATATACTATATCTATCCAAACTTGATCAGTTAGTTATACAAGCAAATGTTTGCAGTAGTAAAGCAACAAAAGCATATCAATCAACCTTAAGAGAGGAAAAAGAGAAAAACATTAGGATGGTTGGCAAAAGCATTAGGATGATAGTAAAAGTTCCCCAAGATTCCTGCCATTTTTTAACAACAACCATGGTGAAGATTTTGTAACTTGACAAGTTAGAATTATTGTGTTGTCTTATGAAGTCGATCACAAGGGCCAACATCTCAACGATCCTTTTAATGGAAGGCATTAGCATTAGTATGGATTTTTCATACTTAAGAACTCCATGCCTCAAAACTGTGAATGCATCCTTAAGTTTCATTTCATGACAATAATTTAACAAATGCAGCCTTTCACCATGGTTTTGCTGAATTGGAGTGTCAACATATTTCTTCTAAAATAAGCTACATATTTGCATGATAAAATGAACAAGGAAGACGATTATCTGTTATGTCGCTATGTTATCATCAATCATGTTTTGCACTGATCGGATATTTATGCACTTAATGTGCCTTTACGACAAAACAGTCGCATATATTGCAATACAATTAAAGAGAAGCAAACTTCTGCAAAGATAAAAGTTGTCATTTGGTTGGCATCTCCCTTATGCATTACTTCTCATAAACTTAAGCAAATCAACAGCTTAAAATGCCATCACGCCCGCTTGGTGGCATCGACAAAGGTTATCAGATTCTATAATTTCAGGCTAAGACTTGTCAAGTCACATTCATTTCCAGTTTAGAAGCAGCAGTCTGTTTGCTCTTTATCCTCTACAGGATATAAAGAGACGCTTCCTTGCGTCATTAGTAAACTTCTACATCTATGACTCCCCACGGGAGGTTTTTCTTATCTGAATAACTAGGTAACTATAGATCCTGTTGCAAATCTTCTTGCAGCATTTGACTACGTTAAAGCAGTTACAAAGATTACGGAAAATTACACAGAGAGCCAGTCAGATCAGCGTGAAAGCCACTCATTTGCGAGCGTAGAGGATCATAAAGAATAAAAACATCAAGCAAGATCACAGACGACGAGAAATCACAAGGAGAAGGACAGCAATGGAACGGAATGGACCAACCTCGTACAAAGGCCTGTCTCGCTGAGCCGTGCCATCTTCGACCCTCTCCCCCCGCGTCCTTTTAGCATGAACCAACTGCAACGAATACAAAAGGACGGAATCTAGGGTTGGGTATCCAAAGAATCGAGAAAAGGTGGGATGCAGAGCTAGGGTTTTGAGAAGGGGGGAAGGGAACCAAGAATAACCTGCTCCTCGGAGACGAAATTGACCAGGCGAAGGGGCGGTGCCGGCGGTTCATCCTCCATCGTCCGCGCCGCCTCTCGTTCCTTCTTCTGCTGCTGCTGATCGATCCGAGATTCAAATTGAGTTGCGGTTTAAAAAAAAAGAAAATATTAAATTGATAATTTTTTAAATAATAAAATATTATTGATAATCTCTCATTATTAATAACTTTTAAAAATAATAATATTAATATTAATTTTATAATTTACAACCCTAATAATATTTTTTTTTCTTTCAACGATCCCTTATTTCATTTATCTTATAATATATTATTAATTTTTTTACTAGTTAAAGTAATTGATACATTATATATATATATATATCTAATTTCATTTTAAAATTCATCCACATTGAAATGACACTATGTTACATATCTCATTTACTCCTCCGATAGGAAGGCAAATTGCATGCGTGGGATATACTATCATTTCATCAAACACCTTCCTTCGACGCGGTCCAATCTGCTCCTGTAGGTGTTTGCTAAAATTACAGTGGGCAACGAGAGGGACGATCGGATGCGCTGTAGCAACGTGCTGCCATAATCCAATAATCCACCGAAAAGCTTAAGAGGGTCATTGTCTTCGTCGGACCCACCAAGGGCGGTCAACAGTCATAGCGAGACTCCAAGACTTGCAGCACCGTCCTTTGATGCTGTCAAATCTCCTCGCACAAGTGTTTGCTAAAATTACAGCGTGCAAAGAGAGGATGATCACACACAGTGTTGCAGTGTACTGCCACAATCCACCGAAAAGGTTAAGGCCGGCCAAGTGGGGTCAGCAGTCAAAGCAAGACCCCATGATGAGGAGCATCACCGTCCTCTCACACCTTTCATACTAATTTTCCAGATCCCCAGCCAACCTGGTTTCCTCCTCCCCATCATTCACCACAAACTTCAATCTCTACTCTCCTCGTTATATACAAATACAAAGATTTTATGATGTTGCAGGAGAGTTACAGCGTATATAATCTTGGCAGGACACCGACCCTTACGTCAGTTCTCGAGGCCTGAATACGTCATGGCATCCCCCAAATGATTCGACCTTCCTGTGTAGTAGTATATCACCGTCCCAACCATTCTATCACCGTCCTTTGTCTCATGGTATCAGATTGGAGCAGTTCTGTGTCGCTATAAATACTAACTAAACTCATCTCACCGCAGCAGTGAAGAGAGCGAGCGAGTGAGGAGTCGCAGAGAGCACACAGTCGTCAGCACGAGATGGGGAATGCGGCGTCCCTGTTTGCTTGCTTCGGCAGCAAGACGAAGAAGCGCAGGGGCGGCGGCGACCCCAAGAGGAAGCGCAGGGGCGGCCATGAACCTGACCAGCGCAGCGGTATGCCGCCGAGAGAAGGCGCCGGGGTGGAAATGGAGACGAGGCAGCAAGAAGAGAATGGGTTTGGCATAAACGAGAAGGCCACCGAATTCATCATCAAAAAACGCGGTCAGTTGATTCAAGATCAGCTACGGGAACTCTCTCCCTCTGATGGAAACAATAAGGTTAATGTCGGAACGAATGCTTCTCTGGGAACACAGTAAGGTTTCATGTCGATGGTTTGAGAGATGTAGTGTTTGCTGTAGCAGATGCAATCCCTATTTTCCTAGTGTAAAAGAAAAGCAAGAATTGGTCTACATACCATTCAACGCTTCGGGTAAAATGAAAGAGACATGCGATCAATAAAATTGGTCTATCTATCTCCGATCACTTATATTTCCATGATAAAAACAACATCTGATCTCGAAATCTTATTATATATATACGTATATTTTTACTCGGTCAGCTACACGAACACTGTGATCTTGAGGTTATGTACGAGTAGGTTTAATGTACATAAGATGGAGGGATAGATGTAATCGACAAACACCGGCGATCCGCGAATGATGGAAAACGTGTTGATGGACGGAGGGGGAGGGAATAATGTTGTGAGGGTGACATTTCATGTGATGAGGAAGGGAAGTAATCCGGAGAGATTTGGGTCGGGAGCAGCAGCTTGTGCGAGAGGTGATTCCTCCCGATCGGCCGTCCATCCTTTGGCGTGAGCAGTGGGCGCAGCACTACGATGGTGATGATGAAGATGAAGATTAGATCTGCCTAATCAAAATCTTTTGGATCCAATCACATCAGCGCTCCTTTGTCTGCTTCTTTAAGTTTGCCGGTGTATTCCAATGCTTTTGTCTAGAACGTAATTGTTTAGGGAAAAGAATAGAGTGGATGCGAATCACATCTCGGAGAAGCCATGTTTGCATTATGTAGATTGGATGGATGCGAATCAGTTCTTGCAAACCTTCATTTTATTTTAATACATATTGGGGATACTTTGTAGAATCTGTAGGATCTGATAGAACTTTCTTTCTGGCTCTGTTCTCAACTCCAGGAAAGAGAGAGAGAGAGAGAGCAGAGGCTTGGAAGCTGAGTCTTACCAGGAAACTTTTGAGTCTCTGCTTGGGGTTTGATCTCTTCCAGTTTCATCCTATATAAATCGATAGATCATAAAAACGCTTTGTCTGCATTCTGCCTTCACTCGGAAGGCTGCTGCATGAACTGAAATTTTATGCACCCAAAAGTATCGTACTAAAAAATTCATTCACTTCAAAATCATAAGAATTTAATAAAAATTGATACTAAATATATTAGAATCATTTACTAATAATTATTTAAAAATTAAATTATTTAAATAAAAATATCTTTATTATGCTCGCGTTATACACGTATATAGATTCAACAAAGTTCAACCTAATCTTATCCTATCCGAATCAATTTGACCTGAATCATGATGATCAAACTAAATTAAACCAGCTCACCAATCTATGACTTGAAACAACTTAATTGAAAGGTATTATCAATTTAAAAAAAAATATCCCTAAGTAAAAAATCAATTATGGGGGCATCATTTGTTAAAAAAAACTAATATTAACAGTTTTTTGGGATAAATTATATATATATATATATATATATATATATATATATATATATGTGTGACATATTATTTTTTAAAATGTATTTTAATTTTCAGAAAACCTTATAAATAACATACAAATACATAAATAATTTTTTTTATTTTTAAACCATTAAAATATATTTTTAATTTCAACCTTTAAGAGTATGAAATATATGTTTTGTACGTACGTAATTTAAAAGTATGAAATTATATCATTTTTTAATGGGCTAAATTTAGCCTTTAAAATAGGTTTTTTTTTATAATTTCAATCCCTTTAGAAAATTAGAATTATAAATTTATGGTAAATTCAACTTAAAATGGCTAAAAATAAAATAAATCATTATTTTACAATTATAGTGCTTGAAATAAATTAAATATATATTTTAATTGCTAAAAATAGAAACAATAATCATTTAGGTCTTTGTAACTTATTTTCAATATTTTTTAAAAAATTAAAATTTTGAAAAAATGTAAAATATATATGCCACACTGTTTTTGTATAAGATTCCAAAATTAATTATCTTATTCAAAAATAGTGTAACAAAAGTATTTAATATATTTATTCTTAAAACATTGGAAACCCTTATATAATAATATTCAAATGGATTTTTTCCCTAAATTGTTGTAATTCATCCTAAATTGGTTAAAATAAAATTCATAATTTCACATATTTAAAGGGCTAAAATAAATTAGAAGTAATTTTAATGACTTAAAAATAAAAATGTTAGACATTTCTAAGTTATTTGAAAGTTTTCTTGAAAAATTGGTAATTTTTTCTTAAAAAGGGATATATATATATATATATATATATATATATATATATACATTGTTATT